CCAAGTAAGTAGATATCTGAGAGCCGAGTATTAGCGTTAAAGAACACACAGGCAGGCCATCTTTCTACTTAATTTCTAGCAAATTAATCGCATTAATATGCTGGTTAGTCTGATTATTTTAAATGTCTAATAAAATACTTTTAAATGGCTTGTATGTAATCATTGCCTTAGAATTATTCAACAGCTTTTTTGATTAATTTATTCAACTGCTGACATTAAAATGAAGTAATAAGACCGTTTTCATGAGCTATTATTTGTTAATAAAATAGCTTAACATGTATTTTATTGAAACTAAGGTCGGTGCTTTTGTTCACTTTTACTAATTAATTGACTCTTGAATGCTTCTAGAGGTATGGATGAAGTCCGTCTATTCGCTTTATTGGGCCATATAAATGTGTGCCTATATTCACTATCCAGCTGCGGAATAGTTAATATTGAAGTATATTTTATGTTAATATGCCATTATATATTCTATTTTGGCATTTTCTCTTCAGGAACAGGCCGACACGGTCAATTTGGTGTCGCTGTCACCAACCATGCTAAAGAAATTAGCCTAGACTTGCCAACGTTGATTCTGGGCGCATCAAAGACGTTGTCGACAACAAAAAAAGAATCCCCAGATCAATTATTACTAGTGCATCAAGCTGCACAGCCTCAGCGGCACTCCAGAATAGACAATCCATCTAGTCCGTGTATTGCGGCCGCATCCATTTTCTCAGATGATATTGCTGAATCACTAGCAGATATAAGAGTCAAGGATGTAGCCTGTGGTGGCAGTCTGACTCTGGTGCATGTAGTTCCTGTCTTCAAGGTGGCCTAAACGGTTTGGGGATTTATTATTTTATATTTATATTACGATACTTCATACTCACGACGATCATCCTCTATTTTTATTCAAAGTGATAACTTATGCAACAGTCTCATAAGTTCATGAAAAGTTAATTGAAACCTTTAATATGGTTCTAATACTCAAAACATGTATGAATCTAAACTCACATTACCGAAGTCACTTGCCCACCTATTATAAACAGTCAGGATGATATAAACTACTGTGGCCTACAATTACTCTCAAACGAAGAAGTACAGCAAAGGAGCTAGTTGCTTTTTCGACCGCCTTGTGTGACATTTTGCCCTATAGTTCGAGCCAGGGGACTGTACATTTAAAAGGTTTTGGCATTCTCGGTCATTAGGCCGCTGCTGCCCAGTATGTTTGTTCACTGGACAAGATATGTAAGCCATACAGACAAGTTATTTCTTTGACATCATTTCACTTCAATACTTTTCATTGAGCTGCCCTTAATCCATAAACAAATAGTAAATTGTGACCTGTCCTGTGACCGATAGAAAAAATAGAATCCGATGGTTGGAACAGTAATGAGGTGAGATGACCAGAAGAGGAGATTGGGAAAGGGTACAAATAAGAAAGCATGTTGGAGTTGTGTAGCCACATGAGATGCCTCGGAGACATAACATGAAGATGTGGCGTCGATTTAGTCAGCCCTTCGATAGAGTGTCTTGTGGCTGTTTTCATAGTAGAGAGGGACTTAGTGACACCGTTACTGGAACAGTTTGATTTGGACCTATACCCCGAGTGGGTGTGCTCCTTTGTACGTGGGGGTCAAACCCAGTTTGCCATTAGCATATGTAGATGCAAGAGGGCAGGAAAGGGATGCATAGATGTGGCCCATTTAATAGTCTTCTTGTAGTTTTGTTGCGTTGATTTAAGGTGTAGTTTCCAACGATTTCTCTCGCTTAGGGGTATCCAGAAAATTTTATAGCAGTCCGAATATTAATGAGGCATAATTTTTGACAAGAATTTCAGGAACTCAACACGGGTTTTTTCAATTATTTGCATCGTTGCTATTTCATATTCTTCTTAATCACATGTTCGATTGTCTCCATTTCCTCTATAAAGAAGTCGATTTAAGTAAGCAATTCTTAAAAGCAAGTGGTCTTACCCACTTCTCAGAGGAAAGGTTAATTTTGTTTAAAACAATTAGTTGATTCTTATTTATTATTACCATGTTATGTCATGCGGTTTCATATATTTTATTGTCTGGCTTCAGATATGCTTGGTTATGCCAAGTCTCATGGCTCTACATTTTCCTCGATGATAGCTACGACTTACAGGTGTGCACGATTCTCAAAATTTAGGAATTCGACACTAGCATAAATAATATCTTTATTCTGGGCCGCCGCCTAGAATTTTAAATATCGTAAATTAATTATGGGTTAGATATGAAGTGGCAATATTTCTCGACTCATTACCAACACAAATAATACAAAATACTTTTCCAAAGGGAATTAATGTATAAAGAATTATCGTTAAGTCTTTTGAAGCCATAGAGAATGTCCAATATGAGGATTGATAGCTCTTTTCGGATATCCGAAATTTTGCAGGAATTCTGCCCCAAAATGTTGTGAGTATCTACATTTTAAAGTAAGTGATGCATAAATAGCTCTTTGGCATACTAAATAACTGAAAGTTGCTCGTTATCAGATCATCGAGACACCAAAATTATTTATTTTTTTCAGTAAATAAAAGAAATTTGAGGCGGAGTGAATACAAATGGAGTGTACAATAGTATGGAAACCAACGGAAACTCATTCTACACGCATTTGTTGTAAATATGTTCGTTAGAATGGTTCTGCATAGAAGCATACCTTAGTTAAATACGATCACGCTCTAATCTCAATAACGCCTTTGCCAAATAAGGAAAATCTTTTGACCCCCAGAATCATCCTCAGAAAATTCGGAATTTTTGAAAATATTTGTATATTCGTCCACAGGCCACCATTCAGACAACATTGTTAGAGTTTCTTCGAATGTATCATACAAATTATGTTAAGAATGTGAACTGAATCAAATACACTTTGACATCTAATACCAGAGGTCTTTTCAATATTAGCAATTTTACTGCATGCAGCCTTACATCTCGCAGAAGCCCAACTGCTTTGGCTTTTGTTGGAGATATATTATTTCCTTAAAATGAGCCCTTCAAGTTCGAAGCTAGCCTGGAAAACTTTAACTGTTCACCAAAGTTTCTTGGTTTAGGATAAACATTATGGAAACAGACAGCATGCCTTCGCTACTTTGGATGAGTGAGACCATAGCCTTGATATCTCTCCGAACGAGCATTAAAATAAAGCAAGGTATTTTTCTACCTGGATGATCTAACAATTGAAAATGGGTCAGTTATTCATGAAGACACAAGTTGGATGACTCAACCGTTTTTGAGATAGCATATATAGAAGATCAGTCTACTAAAGAAGCCTATCCCCAATACCAAATTGTTGGTCTATCTGCTTAATATTTGAGTCTATTTACAGTATAAGTCTAAAACTTGGGCATTGCAAAGGGACCATAAAAATTCTCTTGAATGCTTTCACAGCAAATGACTTTTAAGCAATCGGAGGCTAAAGTGGACAGATGTCCTCCTCTGATACCATGTATGCGTTGGTTTCAAAATGTCTGACATACAGCGAAAAGATGGTTTGATATTTTAGAGCCTTATTGGTCTTGCCTTAAATGACACACGAAAGTTATATTTCATCAGGCCGTAGACGTTAGGAGCGCCTCGTGACAATTAAGGCGTTAAACATTCTTTGTGGAAGCTTACTCAATGCGGATGAGCTGAGAAAATTGAATGTAGAGAAGATTCTGCAGAATAAATCTTGATACTGCTCCTGAAGCAAGCACCTAATCAAATCAATTGCCTGACTTGCCGCTTATATGCTGTTGATGTGCCAGACGGTTGGGCCGGTTCTAGGCGTGCCGTATCAGATCGTCATCTGACCAACTGCAAATGATATGTGCATGTTATACGAAAAGTGTAAACACAATTGCCTTGCTAGTTTATCCAGCTTTAAATTAGGGAAATATTGTTTCGTTGGGAGCATCGTGGTCGGCTTCAATTTATGCTAAACTTGGAAAATAATTATCATCAAAAATGCCAAAAGAATTTCAAAAGTAGTCTATTTCTAAAGCAGGCTGATACACTATCTGTCAGGTCCATATTTGCATTGATCGCAAATAATTTAATAATTTCCACTCTATTTCATTATCATCGAAGTAACTTCTGCATAAACTACTACTGAAATTTATTAAAATTTAGTGTGTTAAGTATATGTTGATTACATAATTTGCTTTTGAATATAATTCATGCTTCGCGGAGAAAATATTTCTGAGCAATTTTTAATTTTAATAATTTTACTACTCAGAAGAACTATTTGCAAAACTTTTAATATTTTATAACCTCCCCAATTTTAACATTTTATTGGTCAGCGAATGCGTTGGCATTAGGGCCTGTACCACCCTTATATTCTCGCGTATGAAAAATCTTTCAGTAACAAATCCTTTAAAAACTACCGGACTGATAATTAAAATGGTATTGACTATCGAAAAGATCAGAATTTTAATCAAGATAATCTAGTTCCTACATTAATTCCTTCAGGTATAATGAGAATTTCATTTTTTTCTTTCAGTCCGTCAATTGCGAAAATACGGGTGAGAAATTCTAAAATTGTTTTCCCCTTTATATTTATTCTATTATTATCCTTCATCACATTGGCAATGATGG